TGTGGAGAGCAGACCAAGAGAGGGTGGAAGGAGGGGGGACGCCGAAGTCGATGCAAATCTGTGCAGCAACTGGGCTTACTGGGCGGGAACTTCCGCTGTACCAGCCGACTCGGCCAGGGGACGGAAAACGTTCCCTGGGCGGGGCCTCTCTCACCGGGCGGACTCGGTTGGCGGAGTGAGCCTTCGCTGGGCGTGGCCTAACGTCACGGGCGTGATCCCAGCTCTCAGGAGCGGAATGGGGCTGAGGGGTGGGGCCCGGCTTGCTGGGTAGTTGCATTTGTACCAAGTGCCCTTCCCCTCGCAGTCCGCTGCCTTCCTAACCCCCACCCATCGCACTACTTCTGGGTCCAGCCAAACTGTGGCCCACTGGCACTAGGAGCCACTGCAGAAGGGAAAGGAATAAATATGAGAAAAGGAGAAAATGGAAACAAAGTCTTTGTAAATGAGGGGTGGAGTTAAAGCGAGGGCAGGGGAATGGGCTAAAAAAATAAGAACCAAAATATATCACGTAAAGATACAAATTCTCAATAATGAATGTCAGCATACTGTATACCTAAAATGTACCAATAAAATAAATGAATTTTTTAGAAGTGCCGCAGAGAAGACAAGGCGAAGCCGCGAGGCCTACGATGTCCTCCTCAGTCCCTTTCCTGCATTGGTATCCCCACTGGGGAATGGAAACGTGAGATCAGACCCCGGGCCTTGCACGCACTCGCCTCCTTCTCCCAGATCCTACCCACCGTGCCTACGAAGCCAGCTGATACCAGCAGTCCCAACAGGGTTGTTGAGCTAAACCAATCCAGTAGCTACTTGAACACGGCCTCAGACTCCTACAGTGCTCCGGCCTCCCGCAGGGACCCGATGGTTTTCCACTAGGACAAGGCGGGAGGACACGGGGGACGCCGAAACTGGGCCCAGCCTGCTGAGAGGTACCGTCTCCCACCACTAGAGGCTTTTCCTCTGATCAGTCCCAGCGACAAGGACCCCAGCTTTGGTGACAACCATCCAATGGCATGAGCCCAGTGGGCTGCCCTCGCTGCAGAGCGCGTACCCCCGAGTGGCACACTCATCCTGAGTCGGGCTCAGTGCCAAGCTGACCTCCTGGAGGTAGCGAGATATTAAACAGGAATCCGAAGAGCGCACCATTCTGAGGGAAGCAGCCCAGCACAACAGAGCACAAATGGTGGGCCATGAAATGCGCAGAGCTAGGGTGTAGCTCAGGAAGCATTCACACCAGCAAGGACAGGTGCCCAGCAGGCTGCACTGATGGCCTGAGGCCTGGGGTGGAGGCATTCTACCACCCAAAGCAGGATAAGGTCTAGGCCTTTAGTTTCCTTTGATAAAGTTGTAGAGCTTTCCCATCACATCTCAGAAACATGGAAAATAACTAGAAATTTCTTACAGTGTACTCATTCATTTATATTTGCATTTATAGTACTTGCTACATTTTCTAATTGGTGAAGAGTACCATTAAACTCTTGTTTTCTTTTTGGTAGTGGATTGACTCAGGACCTTGGGCTTACCAGATGGCAGAAACACTGAGCTAAATCCCCAGCCCCAATTAGTGCTAATTTTTACCAGTTGGGTCTCAGAACCTTCCTGGCAGATGGTCTGAATATCTGTAAACAATTGCAGTCTTTCCATTTTCTTTTGGGCCGAGCTTTCCAATGTAGTTATACAGTCCTAATGTTACTGATACCACTGGATACCACTGGGGCTTTGAATGTTCACTAGAGACTACACTCTTTTTTTGGTACCAGGGATGGAACTCAGATCCTTGTGCTTGCAAAGCAGGCAGCAGAACCACTGAGCTAAATCCCCAGCCCAAGACCACACTCTTTTAAAGAAACAATAATATAAATGGCAAGTACATGAAAAAATGCTCAGCATCTTTGGCCATTATAAAAATGCAAATTAAACACCGAGATTCTATCTTTTCCCAGAAAGAATTTCTATCATTAAGAACTCAAACCAGGCAGCTGGGCGAGGTAGTGCATGCCTGTAATTCCAGCACTTGGGAGGCTGAGGCAGGAGGATCGCTGTGAGTTCGAGACCAGCCTGGGCTACATAGTGAGTTCTAGATCAGTCTGTCTCAACTCCAGATCAGTCTCAACTACACAGTGAGACCCTGTCTCAAAAAACCAAAAGAACCCCCCCGGAAAAAGATAAAAAAATAAAAAAGGACTCAAGCCAGGCTTGGTAGTCCGTGTCTATAATCCCAGCACTTGGGAGGCTGAGAAAGATGACCCTGAATTCAAGGCCAGCCTCAGCTACACAGTTAGTTCAAGGCCAGCTTGAACTACAGAAACAAGATGTCTCTAAATAAATAAATAAATGAACAAACAACAAATGCTGGCAAGGATACAGGGGAAAAATGCTTCATTGTTGGAAGGAATGTAAACTAATACAACCGCTATGGAAATCAGTATGGAGATTTGTCAAAAAACGAAAAGCTAGAAATTCCATTCCACCCAGCTATTCTGTGTATCTTCTACAAAGACTTAAGGACACCATGTTATAATGATACATGCATACCCATGTTTATAACAGCACAGCTCATAATACCTAATTTTGGAAGCGGTATACATACCCATAAAAGGGAGAATGCATAAAGAAAATGTATTTATACATAATAGAGTGCTACTCAGCCATAAAGATAAATTGGAGTCAGCAGGAAATTGGATGCACCTTGAGATCATAACGCTTATTGAAATAAATCTGACCTATAATCCCAGCACTTGGGAGGCTGAGGCAGGAGGATCGCTGTGAGTTTGAGACCAGCCTGGGCTACCTAGTGAGTTACAACTACACTGAGGGCAGTCTCAACTACATAGTGAGGCCCTGTCTCAAAAAAACAAAACAAAACAAAAACCTGACTCAAAAGGTTAAATAGCATGAAGAAACCCAAAGTATAAATAATGCAAAGAGCAAAATAAAAGAAAATAGAAAATAGGGAGGTCTATTTGAAAATTGGGAGAGGATCTAGAGATGGAGGGAGAGCAGGAGGGAAGTAAAAAAAAAGATTCCATGTGTACATGTACCAACTCCCCACAGTGAATGTATTCATTATGTATCACAAACATACACTCATCAGTAAAAGAAACAATAATTAGTACTAAAATAATATCTAAGCAATGGTGCTTTATTGAATAAAAAGATTAGTTTAAGTGTATACAAAATTGCTGTGTAAAGTGTTTTAAAAATACATTTCTATAAAAATTATCTTAGTAAAAGAATGGTTAGCAAAAGTGTTTGTTTAGACTTGGACAGCAAAGCAAAAGAGGATTTAGAAGTGTGAGCGGTATTCCTTCCAGCCCACATTGCCGTTATTAGTTGCCAGTGGCCCCCAAGCAGAACCTACTCAGATGTACACTGGGCTGATGCTTTTTTTTTTTTTCTTTTTTTCTTACAGCTTTTTAAATCAGTTAATACATGTCAAGATAACCTCAATAACTGACTTTGCATGAGGGTATTCTAAAGCCAAGGTACACTTTTCTCTGTAGAAACTTTATACAATGGAGCTTAACCATACAGCCTTCAACTCTTCACAACTTTTGTAACCCTTTGTGACCATCTCACTAAGGATTTTTTTGGTCAAAACAAAACACGCCAATCACAAATCAAGCCTTTTCTTCAGCACAATTCCTCCTGTCACAATAAAATGAAAATATTGAACCAGTACAACTGTTGTCTTCCTCACACTTCCATTACTTTCTGTGGCCAAGTTTTGGAAGGTTACAAGGAATGAGGAAAAGATGACTCCAGGGTGAACCACAGGGAGATGAAGGAGAAAAGGGCAGGAAGGAGAGACCAAGGCCACAGTGCCGAATAGACAAACCAGATGCAGTTTTGACTGTGGGCACCTGGCTACCAGCCTGTGGCCGAGATCGGAAATGCCTTCACTCTATAGGACATATGGAGAAATCTGTATTATGCAAAATGAAGGGAATGACAGTGGCTGAAAATAGATGAGACAGTCTGCACATAAAAAATAAGACAACCGCTATTTTCATTTCAACAGAAAATTACTAAAAAAAGGAACAATGAGGGGATGCTCAAATCATGAAAACCAGTCAGGCATGTGGGTTTCATGGAGCTGAGGCATTCTAACAGAAATACCACTCAATAGACAGTCTGGAATTGGGAGTGTGCCAAAGTACCCCAATTTCTACTTTTAAGGAGGGTTCACCACCTGCAGTTACAGATAATACATTGAAGTGCAGTATAAAATATAAAAAGGCTGATTTAAAAATCTGCTTAAATTTAGTTGTGTATAAACAGTTTACTGACTCTCACCGTGTAAAAATTATAGCAACAGAAAGCTGGAGCTCACAGCTGATTTGGTTTTCTTGGCAGCACAGCATAACCAGTAACTGTGGAGAACACGATAAAGTGCTCATCATGAGTTCTCTGCAGAGGTTTGAAAAATGACAAGACCAGAATATACCCCTAAAACCATATTTTTAAAAAGTTACATATGTATAAGCATGTATCTCATTAGAAAGTCTGCTGTGTTTTATTTTGTGAAAGGTAAATCTGTATAGGAATTAACTTATGGTATTGAACTGTAGCAGACAAGGATTCAGGTGTTATACAAAAACAAAACCAAAAAAAGGTAACAGGCTCCACACAGTGCAACCTGGTAAACAAATGGCCTGGCACCAAGTCTACCCAGTCTTCTCTGCCCACAGGAACATGTCCACCACACGGAAACATTCTAAATCTGAACGGTCTAAATCTAAATCAAGAAGCCACATCAAAGAAATTCAGTATTTACTATACATGTTGACTGATTCTCAGAAATCAATTCTAACATTAGTGGTTAGTTAAAAGGACAGAAAATGAAAATACGAGCTCATTTCACAAAATATAAAGTGTAACATAGCAATGAAATGCAAAAACTCATCAAAAGTTTAAAAAATTGAATTCTTAGGCACAGGTACTATATATGTGAATGGGCACCCTTCCAAGGATCTCATGAAAATCTGTAGCTGTAACACTCAACCGGAATGTGCTCTTTTTATTCAGGAGGGATTCCTAGAAAAACAAAACAAAGCAATGTCATTTATGAGGTAGGTACTGGGGAAATTTGGAAGCACTGTGAAACTGAAAAGTATGCAAAAATAAACATTAACATTATATAACTAAAATAAACCTTTATAATTCCTTAAAGAAAAAGAGAAAACAATCAAGCACCTATCACTTCCTCCTGCTCAAATGAGTCCACCTCTGAACAGTTCCCATGTCACTCCACCCAGCAAGAGCCACACCCGGCTATGCAGTAGGAGGCTCATCACCCATCACCTGTTCGACAACTGCAGGCTAAGCATTATAGCTCCTACAGCAGCACTGATTTCTTTATTGGCCAGTGTGAACTTAGCACCCACCTTAGGACTTTTCCAAGGTTTCCATGTGATAATCAAAGTAAAGCAACCAAGTCGAGAACCAGGAGGGGTTAAACAGAAAAAGAAAAAAGCCAAACAATGCTAAGATTTCAGTAGCAGGAAGGAACGTGTCACATTCAACTTATGCCAAAATGGGACCCCCCCCCAGTAACAGCTGTCCATTTTCCAGGCTGATGGACGCCAGGGTCAATCTCTTAAGACTTACAAGTATACAAACATCATTTCCTATATGGTGCCCAAGAGCCCAGGGACTTAAGGCGTTCATGCACACACCTCACACATGGTGCCCAAGAGCCCCACTGTCACCATCGCCACCCTGCATTTGCATCTGCATCTGCGCCTGCATCCTCGCAATCATCTCCTGCATGCGGCGGAGCTGTGAACACAGTGCATGTTGGGGACGTTACTAGCATTCAGTTTGCTGTTCCTGAACATTATTTATGGATGTTCTGTGAGCCATTAAATTTTAATTTCTATGCTTTTCTAACATATGACATGGTAAGATAAAAGGAATTCTTACAGATTAATAAAAAGACCAACAGCTCAATACAAAACCAGGTACATAATGAAAATATGCAAGACCACTAAGACAAACAAGTTATTAATAAGTAGAAGCAATAATTAAAGAAAAATAAGAAATTTACTTTTTTTACCCCAAAAGGTAGGAAAGAGACTGAGGTTACCTAGTGGGTAATGAGAAGCAAATGGGAAATTATTCAGCTTTTCTGGAGGGCAATGAAGTGCTAGCCTTGAAAACAGTTAATGTTGACCTGTATCCTCACCAGTTTTTAATCACTGTGGCTTGTATGCCACCAATAAACTACCGTGAAACATTTACTCAGATTTTCTTCAGGCAATCTTGTGGCTATGGCTTCAACGTTTAAATACGTGACTGACACTGAGTTAATGCAGTTAATCCCCAGCAGCCACATCACTACTAGACGATCTACATCCAGGTCTGGATTCTCTTTGTCCATGACCACTTCTACACTGCTTGTCTCCTGCTAGACAGCGGCCTACATGACCACTGTTCCCAAGGGTTTCTATAATATGTAAAGCAAGCCTTGTCCCTGTACTTCCCATGCTTATTCCTTAAAACAGTATTAGAATTTCTAGGAAAGAAAAAAAACTCAGCCAACACACACAATTCCTGCTGGGAATTGGTTTTTTTTTGGTACTGGGGATCAAACTTGGGTCCTTGTGAGGTCACTTGTGAGGCAGGTGGTGGAACCACTGAGCTAAATCCCCAGCCTGGGAATTTTATAATTATACTAAATCTACAAATTTAGAAGAGTGTGAGCCTTAATTAAACCTGTGCCACCTACAATGTCGTATGTCTTTTGTAATCATTTTTTGTTTTATTTTTTTAAGGCAGGGTTTCACTCTATAGTCCTGAAAGAGCTTGAACTCAAAATGTGGCCCCAGGTGGACTTATAACTCATTATCCTCCTACCTGAGACTACTGAGTAACGGATTACAAGTGGGTACTACCAACTCTGGCCTACTATAATCTAATTTCTTCCCCCCATATAATCCCTACATATTTCATCTCAAATTTTCATTAATGGATGAAAATGGCAGTTTCACTTCATTTTTCAACTGGTTATTATCTATGTATGGGGCAAATGATCAATGACATCACTAAGTTCTTTTTCCAACTGTTTTAGCTAACTTACTACTGGAGGTTAAATGAGGTAATATATGCATATTATGCATCTATACTTACACATTATTTCATAGTTATTTATATTCCTTCTCAAAAAATTAAGGAAGAAAAACCAGCAGAAGCTAATTACAAACTGTTTTCAGATGTAAGGCAATCAGCTTTAGTTATAAGAATAGTACTTTTCTATTTACCTCAGCTTCCTTTTCCAGTAGGATCTGGTCTTTATTCATGTCTTCATTCTCCACTTTCCTAAAAGTAGAAAGACACTATAATTATAGTACTGCAACAAATATGGTGGGTTCTGATTACAGATAACCAAAGAAAAACATTTACTTTAGAGTTCTGAGAAACATCTGTTTAAAATCACATATATTTATTTTGTAACTAAAGATACAAGGAAGAGAACAAAAATAAAATGAAATAAATTTTAAAAAGAACAGGGAACAGAATGAAAAAGGACAAATGCCACAAACTAGGAAAGTCAGGCGACTTCTTGTGTTCTGACACTGGGATAGCATTCTTATTCTTTTTTTTTGGTACTGGGGATCTAACTCAAGTCCCTGCACTTGTGAGGCAGTCACCAGAACCACTGAGCTAAATTCCCGGCATTGTTACTGTTATTCTTGAGACCTCAGACCGAATGTCTCACAGGAAGAATACAGCCCAAGTGAGCAAGGAGCCCAGCCCTGCAGACAAAGGAGTGCTCCCCACACACAGCAGACCTCAGTGCAGAGCAGATGATTCTTGGCAGGCTGCTGCTTGCCTGCCTGCAACTGGTTTTTAATGTCTAGTTCCCAGATTAAAATACTGAATGCACACAGAGACCGAACCCACAGCTTCTGCCAGTGAGCTAACTGAGCTACATACCCTCAGCCCGTTTTTATTTTTTTAAGACAGTACCTCACTGTTGCCCAGGCAAACCTTAAAGGTGTGTGTGTGTGTGTGTGTGTGTGTGTGTGTGTGTTTGGGTATTTTTCAGTAAGGGTCTTGCTATGTAGTTCAGGCTATCCTCAAACTCACAGCTATCTTCCTGCCTCAGCCTCCCAAGGGCTAGAATTGCAGCAGTACAACACAAGGCCCAGATATACTTGAATTTATAATCCTCATGCCTTTAGCTGGGATTACAAGCATGTATCACTGTGCTTGGCAAGTGAAGACTTTAATGTATATCTTAGTCATCTCAACAAATCTATTAAAGTTATTAAAATATGAATACTTTAAATGAGCTACTATATTATAATTAACACAGATCTCTTACTTGTTCATTAAGCTCTATTCTAAGCAGAGACGGAATTTTTTTCAGATACAGATTGGGACACAAAATATAGATCTCATATAAAAACACATTAGGAGAGTGGTGTACATCTATAATGCCAGCAACTGGGAGGCTGAGGCAGGAGGATTTCCACAAGTTCAAGGCCAGCCTGGGCTACATAATGAGTTCAACACCAATCTAAACTATAAACACACACTTTTTCTCTCATATATTCATATATATATATATATATATATATATATAAAAGGCAGGAGAGGGTGTCGCTATGGACCTGCAGAGCTGCTATTCTGATGGCACCCACAGTGAGCTTACCTTTACCCATGGAGTTGTGGTTCTCAATGAACACGTTTGTCTTCAACCAGACACAGGGAAGCTTTTGGAGATGTTCTAATACAAGCCTCTGGCCTTCTTATCAGGCTACCTTTCATGTGTACATTATGGAACAATTTTTTTAAAAGCTACAAAAGCATGATTTAACAAGTAGTAACATTCTCCTAACAGTTTTTAAGTAGGAACCCCACTTTTCTTTGGATTTTTTTGAAATAGGGTCTCACTAAGGAGCAAAGGCTAGCCTCGAACTTGCAGTGATTCTCCTGCTTCAGCCTCCCAAGTGCTGGGATTACAGGTGTATACCACCTTACCTGGCTAGGAAGACCACTTTTAAGTATCTCCTTAGTGGTCAAGAAGGCTAAGCTAAAGCCAAGTGTCATGGTGCATGCCTATATTCCCAGCACTCCAGGAGGCTGAAGCAGGACTATTGAGTTCAAGGCCACCCTGGTCTACACAGTGAGTTCAAGGCCCCCGAGGCACTACCTGAGAAATAAAACCTAAACAAACAAAGTTGGATAAAGTAGCACATGCCTACAATCCCAGCACTCTAGAGGATGCAGCAGAAAGATGGCAAGTTTGAGGAAAGCTTAAGCTACAGAGAGACCTTGTCTCTAAAACAAAAATAAATAAGTAAAAATATAATTTAAAAAAGAAGGCTGAGCTAGATAGACAGAGGAGGAGAGGACATAGCTTGATACAACATAATACAAAGAGGTGGGATAGTGTGACAACCTGCCGCCTCTCTTAAGCCTCTCAGAACGGAAGTTTTCATAGTGAAGGTCCTGGGTCACTTCCTGGAGATCCTGCATGTGGGTGCTGAAAGATAAAAGCAAAACACAGTAACGGCTGCGCGCCTGTGACTCTCACAGGAAAACACAATTACACAACACACAACAGTAAGATAAACCCTCCCTACTACTGGCTAAACTGTACAGAGAAGTTGCTAGAACTTCAGAATGAAGGAGTCTGGCCATGGTAATGTCTATGGAGACAATGGTAACATCTCCCTTGTTACCACAGTGAATAAGAAGTCTCCATGAGTCTTTCTCACTGGACCTCTGCTACCATACTGACAGACCCTACACAAGGCCATCACCACTGGGAGGCAGATATAGAGGTGTGAAACAGACTGTTATTACCTAACAAGGTCTGCACTACAACACACTTCTAAAAGATCTTATGGGATATATGCAGTTCAAATATTGATGACAAGATTAAAATTTATATATTAATCTTATATCACAAAGAGTTGATTACCATAAGCTATGGACAAGACCATGAAGTGAAGCCCAGTAATGCTAAATTAAAGCTTCTCTTCATTTTATAGAAACATTCATGGCTAGTGTTTTTGCCTGGCATTTTCAAGAACTTAACACATTCAGAGGAATAAACACTGTGGTTCATTTCTGTTGGGAAAGTGTGGATGGGAACATCTTACTCATTTCCATTCAATAAGAACTGCTACTCTAAGTGAGGTATCAGTGCTATCTATATACAGCAGTCTTCAGCTAATTAAAATATTACTTTATACAAGTAAGTCTCTCAAACTCTTCTCATTAAAGAAGTATACTTTATAGGAGCTTGAAAGCTCCAAGCATAAATGATAAGGAAATAGAACTGTGAGGTACCCTGATTTCATCAGCACATGCTGGGGACATGTTGAAATATCAGTTACCCATAATGTGTATAATTACAATTTAATTAAAAATAAGGAAGTGTATTAAGTAGCGTTTTCCTTTAGCCTCTTCTTTTCTAAGAGGATCACTGGAGTGAGGATTTATTTGAACAAAGCCTGTGGTGCGCATAGGGCAAGTGGGAACCCCCCAGACCAACCCCTAGCCTCTTTAAGAGTAACCACAATGCATGTATGATGTTATACGTGAAATGCATTTTTAAAGGAAGTCTATTTTTGTAGCCAAGCTTGTTACAGTTGCTAAAAATGGACTGAAATTTCAGGCTCCTGGAGACCATGCAGTGACAGCTAATCATGCAGTGATGAGCAGGGGTGGCTGCTCAGTGCCCACCAGAGGCCTGCCCCACTTGCCAACACTGGGGGGTCTTGGACCATGTCTAGGTCTGGTGTCCTGTGGCACCAAAATCTGAGACATTAAGGAGTAAGAACGTGTACTGAGGTCCAGGCCACAGGAGGAAGAGGCTAGCTCAGCAGAGCCCCAGGCTGGGCACTTGACCCTGGCCACTTCAATGCAGTGTGAAGGTGTTGCAGACATGCATGAGGATGATGACCACGTGCACCCACAGCTCAGCCAGAGGTAGGACAGCAATGTCTTACATGAGCATCGTTCTCAGCTTCAGAAAATCGTTATGTTCGGGGTTCTCCACCTCGACAACACCCCATGGGTAGAGGCGACCTCTGACCTTCTTGCCTTTGGCTTCAATCAGCTGGTTGGATCCAACCACAGAGAATGGGATACTGGCCTAGAAACAGACACAGGGCAAATGTGCTCCACAAAGGGAACCCCAACGTTCATGGCAAATACAAGAACCAGCACAGTTTTGGCCCACTGTTGTTGACTACACATTGTAGCTGATGGTTAAAGGCATACATATATGCATTACTTCCAAGTATCAGATACCTTCCATGTGGAACAAATCAGAAATGAAACTGGAGTAACATTTCCAGGCCTTCAGTGAAAGCTACTTCTAAATATCTTTGAAGTGAAAGTGCTTTGGGCCGACCCCACCCAGACAATCTGTTACGGGTCAAGCCCTCTCTAGGAGCCAGCCCTTTGACAAATGTTCCCCTGAAATGCATGCAAAGGCAATGGTGAACAGGTGTGCAAACTGTGCACCCAATCAGTTCTCACTTTGAGAAGCCTAGTCTGCTCTTTAAAGTCTTCATCCTCATCTGATTCTGCATCAGGTAAGTGATAGATTTTGATGTTATGTTCTTCAATTTCATCCAGAATCTGAAAGAACGACAAAACCAGGATCAGTTTTAGCAAACTGAGTATTATTTTGGGCAAGTCCAACTCATTATATTAAAAATATCAGAATCATACAACTGGTAATAAGGAATCAAATTGATTCAAGTTATTTTCAAGTGATTTTTATCAACTGCTACATGGTATTTATTCTTGTCAGGTCATGACAATATTAGCAGTAATACATTATCTCCTACAACACGCAAAGCAGTAAGTCTACAGCTGATGTCCCCAGCACAAAAGCCTCACTGAAGAGCACATTGCAACCAGCCTCAAGAAGGGCCAAGGCCAGGGCCAGGAGAGGCTCACAAGAAAGAAGTCCCTGAGGAACAGGCAGGAGCCTCACAGACGGAGAAGAGGGAAAAGCAACCCAGAAAGAAGAACCGCCTTATGCAAGTCCTGGAAAGGAGAGGCGTGTTTCAGGGACAGGAATTCTGGACAGTGGACTCTGAGACATCAAGTTAAATATGAGAACAAAGCCTGGTGGTTCCAAGTAGAGAGCTCCTGGAACACCAAGGCTTTGGATTTATACACAGCAAGCAACCAGCAGTTAAGTCTCACAATTGGATCTATCATCCAGGCCCAGAACAGAGGAAAAACTGGGCTGGTGCAGCACTTAGCAGTCATTTATTAGCCACTGATTAAGACTCAGGTCAGGCAGCCACTGCCACCTGGAGTTCTGAGTATTTTCATTGGGACCTGCGCCACCAAGAGAAAGGAACAAGGCAAAATTACAGGAAACACCCAGGCCTCCACTTTGCACTGGACTGGCTCTTTGCTCATAAGGATGAAAGTCCTTCTGGGTCTTGCATGACCAAAAATATGGCTTTCTTAATTGAGGACTCCAAAAAGGTCCACCCTTTCATCCTTTACCTCCAAGCCAGTACCTCTCTCTGCATAAATCCTTCTTCCTGAATAGGAGAACTATTTCATCTTTGGGAGATACTGAGTAATAAGCACAAATGTGTTCTATCCTTATCTCATGGTGCCTTTCCTGGCCTACTGGCTATCCCCTGCTAATTCCATATGTTGGTTTATGCTGGTCTCATAAAGACAGAGATCAGTGAAGTGAGAAATACCTATGAATGTTCCTAAAAGGTTCATGTATTAAAGGCGTTGGCGCTGATAGGCTTTGGGGAAGTGATTGCATCATGACAATTCTTGACTTCACCACTGATCAATCCACTGATGAGAACATGATTTGAAACCATTACCAGGATGTGACAGAAACAGGAAGCAGAGCCTATTTGAAGGATGAGGATAATGGGTGTACAACTTTAGGGGCTAGATCTGGCCGCTGGCCCTTTCTTCTATGGCTTTCCTGCAGGTTCATGCTCTCTGTCTCATGGCTGCCATGAGTTGAACAGCTTCCCTGTGACATACCCTTCCAACATGTTTCTACTTTATCACAGACTTAAAAGCAACAGAGCTACTTGACCAGGGATTGAAACCTCTGAAGTTGTCAGCCAAGATAATTATTTCCTCTTTTGTTATTCTCAAGTATTTGAGAATTTGAGTATCTGAGACTCAAGTCACAGTGACAAAAAACTAACACAGTACATCATTTATAACTAGAGGAAAAGGAGTTGGAAAAGCAAAAGCCACAGAGGTGATGTGAGCACAGCAAAATCAGAAAATACTGTACTCAAGGGGTCAGGGAGGCGCAAAGTGCTGGAATAGGCAGAGTGCAAGGCACACACAGTGCCCACAACCAAGTAGGACAGGCTCAGTACAAGGGAAGAACTGCTGGCAGCCTGTGACAAGAGAGCTTTAACTGGATGCAGAGAAACCAGAGTGCCACAGGGCACAGAGAGGGTAATCAATAGCCAGGAAGTCTCCGTGCACCCTGGCAGGATGGGAAGAAAGGCCCCACAAGTTCTTTAGAAAAGGACCAGCCAGCAAACTGCAGCCTGACGAAAGAAATATGAGGATGGGGACATGCACTACAGCATTTCAATTCGCCTCAGAGTTTGTAATCCAGCCCTAAAGGATTTCCATTATGGGATCAGAGATTATAATTAGAGTCTTCTAATCATGGAATCCCTCTACACTACATCAATGAAAATACATTCTTTTTCCTTTTTCCACAGTACTGGGATTGAAACAAGGGCCTACCGTGTAATAGACAAGTACCACAGCATTGAGCTAAATATACATCTAAAACTTTATTTTTAGACAAGCCTTGCAAAAGTTAAAGTGTCAAGGGTGGCCTCAAAATTGTGATCCTCCTGCCTCAGCCTCTCCAGGCATGTGCCATCACACCCAGCAAATGCCTAAAAATTTAAACTATCATAAATCAGTAAAAAAGCACTAAGGTAACACCAACAGGCAGCACACACAAGGATAGACAAGACCTCACAAGCAGTCAAGCAGACATAAATCAAAATGAGATCCAAAATCTACAATGGGAAAATGCTTACAAAACCTGGTAACCTACCAGAAGAGTTCAAGAGTGGGGTGGAGAGCAGATGACGCGTTGGGGAAGTACTTTTTTACAAGCTGATTTTTTGGGGAAATTTAGCTATCTTTATTTATTTGTTTTGTACCAGGGATTGAATCTGTGCTTGCAAGGCAGACGCAGTGCCACTGAGATCTTTCAAAAATTTAAACAGGCATTAATTTCCTTTTGAAGAACTTTTTTTTTGGTACCAGGGATCAAACTTGGGACCTTGTGCTTGCAAGGCAGGCAGGAGAACCACTGAGCTAAATCTCCTGCCCAGAACTTTTGTGACTTATACAATTTTAGTAGATAAATGTGTACCAATGTTCACTAAAGAACAATTACTGAGTTCCTACTATGTGCCTGGTAGGATTCTAAAAGACTAGAAGACAAGAAAATAAAGCAAAGATCCCAGGGGAAAGCAATGAGAAGAAGCCATGAAAAACATTGTGAAGAAATGCTTTAGGTCATGTGCTGGAGAACTATAAAAGGAGAATCTATGAAACAGGGTAAAATTACATGGTCAGGTTAGATATCTAGGGGAGAATTTTCTTTTTCTTTTTTTTTTTTTGAGACAGGGTCTCACTATGTAGTTGAGACTGACCTAGAACTCACTATCTAGCCCAGGCTTGTCTGAAATCACAGAGATCCTCCTGCCTCGGCCTCCTGAATGCTGGGATTACAAGCATGCACCACCACGCCAGGCTTGGGGGAAGAATTTTCTAGACAAAAGATATCACTAACAAAAAATATCCTAAAGTAGAAACACTTGGAGCACGGGGAAAAGTAACTGGAAATTTGATCAGGACAAAAGGGAACCAGACCAAAACAAGCCAAATATCAACCAAGACATGAAAAAGCAAATTACAGTAAATTCTTACTGTGGAATAGTATCTATCTGGTAACAATTGCTATAGAACTATATATGATGAGGCTCAAATCTATTTTTAAATTAAAAACTGAATGGCAGAATAGTAGTATGATACCACTCTGTAAAAATAAAAATATACGTAAGCTATGTTCTGGAAGAATAGATACTTAACTGTTAAAATTTGTTGCTTCTGTGGGTAACCAAAAGTACTCTTATTTCAAAGGTCAGCATGCATAAATTGGACTTTAAGGAGCATCATTTTAAAATGTAAATAACCTTTAAAAATATTCAGCAGTGTCAACAAGTGGCTTTACAGAGATGCACAGGAGCAGGCACAAACTAGGGGCACCAGAGACAAGTAGCCTTGGAGCAGCCAGGAGGTGAGACACATCAGTTGGCAGATAGATGGAGCAACATCTTCATAACCCAAATGCAAGGAACTTCTCTGCACAGATACACCCTATGTTTCTGTGTTGTTCTTGCTTTGTAGTACAGAGGATTGAACCAGTATATCTCAACCCTTATTTTTCATTTTGAGATAGGGTCTCAGTGAGTCATTAAGTTGTACAGGGTGGGCCTAAACTTGCTTTCCTGTCTCAGCTTCCCCCAGGGCTGGGATTACAAGTCTTTGCCATATCTAGCTTAAATATACCCTCAAATGGACCTTTTGCACTAAACTATTTGGGTAAAACACTAGAGCCTCATGAAGGGACAATACTTCCGCATTCCGGTCATTTACTCAACACTCAAGGGACCTCCTGGCACTTAGCCATCTTCCACTAATTGTGCATACAATTTATCTAAGGGGAATTTACAGAATAGAGATTTGATACTTTCACGAAAGCAAAACGTTAAAACAAACTAGCAAAAACTACGTTTAGGTTTTTTAAAATTCCACCATATAATGTAGGAAAAAAAAAAAGCAGGGCAAAATCTACAGCCCAGCCCTTGGCACCTGCGCAGATGCAGTACCTACTGATGCCCTTCTCCCTTTGCTCAGGTACCTGGCAGAGGACCAGACAGCCGCTTGCACTCACCCTTTTCTTCAGCCGCTCACGCTCCTTCAGAGTGAGAGTGTCAGCTTTTGCAATGACAGGCACAATGTTTACCTTATTATGTATTGCTTTCATAAATGCAACATCTAAAGGCTTCAGCCTAAAAACAATTGCAGAACAGTCACATACAGGTATATAGCAAAAGAACAGGAAGAGCACACAAAATTTTTTCTCTTTCAAGTCTTCTCAGTTCTTTTATTACAACATGCAGTTTGGGGTTAAATTGCAAACTCATGCAGGAAATTAGGTCTCAGTAGTAAACAATTCCTCACCCATGGCCAAAAGGTGAAATGAAGTAGAAGCAGCAGTGCACCCTGTTGTCAATGATGTGACGCCTGTTCAAGCCACTCTCATCGTGCAGGTAGCGTTCAAACTGCTCATCAATGTACGAGATGATAGTCTTAAAACTAAAACACAAACCTCTATAGTAATTTGGGATACAAAAACAGGTAGTTCTCAACTTTGACAAAACAAGGTTTTCTGCCTCTTCTCACCAAATACACATACTCTTAACAGTTTATTTTAAAAATAAGAACAAACTAGGGCTGGGGATTTAGCTTAGTGGTTCCACCGCCTGCCTTACAACTCACAAGCACAAGGTCCCAAGTTCAATACCCAGCACCAAAAAAAAAAAAAAAAAAAAAAA